ATTACAGTATCTAATTCCGATATTTACTTACACAAAAGGCACATGACCAAAGTTGGCATAAAGGTGTTCCTGCATTGCTAACGACACAGCTGGGAAGTAAGCCACTCCGGTGCCGTGAGCCACATTGTCAAAAGCAACGCCCATAGACACGCCATTCCTGAATATAAAGCTTCAACTGATAAGACTTACCGCCGAATTCAGATATGCAAAAATGTCTGATCACATTCACAAGTCTAGTTTAACACTTTAGTACATGGAGTGGTCGTTTGCTTTATCTTATACGAATGTCTAGATGGATGGATAGATGTTTGTTTGAAGGTATCTACAGAACGGCTGCATGGATCTCGCTGAAATTAAGCATAAGTGTAGAACATAGTCTGGAAAAACACATAGGCAACTAATTAAGTTTATTAATTCCGCGCGGACAAAATCGCGGGCGACAGCTGGTGAACAAATAATTGTGACCAAGATGCTTTGCAGTTTCGTATGTCCGCTTATTTGAACATCTGCAAACTATCTGTTTTACACATCTTTATATATAATTCTTCTGTGAGTGTGTATGTCACTGAACTTCTCTCAAACGACTGGACCGATTTTGATGAAATTTTTTGTGTGTTCAAGGGGATCTGGGAATGGTTTAGATTCACAATTTTGTCCGCTGGACAATGTTTTTTTAATTAATTTTTAATTTATTAGTAGTTGTTGATTTAGGAATATTTTACATTGGATCCGACAGACGGCGCTACCATCGCAGTGTCAAAGTTTAAATAATATTCAAATTAAAGACGTGTAGACAGGACAACGTCTGTCGGGTCCGCTAGTATACCTATAAAACTCAAGAGTTCCTTTGTCTAAGTCGAGACAGGAGCCGATGACGTCACCGGGCAGCCAGGCCTGTCCGTATGGCGAAGTAGCCACATTCCACCGGCGCACCCTACCTCCATCGTACGCGTACGAATTAACCGTATCACCAACACCGGTGTCCATTGAAAATGTACAACCAGCGGTACACCAACCTATCTATAAATGAAATGAGTACTAAAATAACATTTTAAACGTAATCTTACTAATAAAAATAAAAATGCGAATGTTTGGATATTTGTTAGAATGTATCTTTAAAACAGCTGCATGGATCACGCAGAAATTTGGCATAGATGTAGAACATAGTCTGGAAGAACAAATAGGTTACTAATAAAGTTTTAGGCTTCTATTTTTTTTTTATTTCGCTCGTAGAGTCGCGGGCGATACCTATTTGTAAGATAAAAGTTTTAGATTTGTTTCAACTTTTATATACCACATTATTATTTTCAAATACTATTATTCAATATTTCTTGTATATTACCTGCATAATTCCTTTAGTGCCTAGTTGAGCTTCATACATCCATCTACCGGAATAAACGCAGGCGGTGGCTCTTATGGTCGCGAAACTGGACAGACCTTGTACACTAACCCTTTCATCACCGACCAGCACTAAACGGCCAGTACCTTTAGAATTTTTATTTTTATAATGAATAAATGGCTTTCATACCAACCACTGATCAGTATAAATGGAATGGCTATAAGATGTAGTATTTTGTGCCTATTTGATTTGTACCATTTTGGCGCTGGTGGCAGGGTTTAATTCGGAACGAAGCAAAAGCTGTTATTTCCAAGCAATCACCTATCCATGTATAGAGATCAATGGATGTAATACTTTAATAATTGGTGTGTTCTAAATACAAATAATTATTAGATTTATTTACCAGTGGATGCATCGAAGACAACTATTTTAGGACCGATGCGACCCGCTCTATCGTCTACGGCATCGTGTTTCTGTATTTTGAACATAAGAAACAATTTAAAAACAAAACGTCTTTATCGCCGTTTTTATAAAAAAAAATATCAAATTCTTCTTAATACGGTAACGCATCTACAGCTCTACTAGTACCGTATTCGTGGTTTAAACTAGCTGTCGCCCGAGACTCCGTGCGCGCGTAAATAAAAAAAAGTAGCCTATGTGTTCTTCCAGACTATGTTCTACATGTATGCTAAATTTCAGCGAGATCCATATAGTTCCGGAGATACCTTCAACCAAACATCCAACCATCCATCTAAACATTTCCATTTATAATAAATAGTTGTCGCCCGCGACTCCGTCTGTTCCGACTTCTAATGTAAAAAATTAATTAATATAGTTCCCGGTAATTATTCGAATTTTTATCACCTTTTAAACCTACCCTAGACTTACGCGAACATTTCAAGAACAAGATAAGATAAATCCGTTTAACCGTCCTCGAGTTTTAGCAAGACTAACGAACATTAATTGATTTTTATATATATATAGATATTAGTAAGATTATTTGTAACTTACCTCAGCATAAGCTTGTGAATGTTTCTTCGCAAATTTCGACTTGTGCGTCATTATTTTCGCATCTAATACTTTGATAAGATTCTCTCTTATATGACACAAATATTTGCTTTTCCTAAAAAAAATATTTCTTATAACACTTCGCAAAGATATGTAAAAGATAAATTAACACCCTGTAGTTAGGTAGTTTAATAAAAATAATTAATATTGTGGGTATTTCAACTTGGATTACCAACTTACAAACTTCACCGTCGAACTAATTTCGAGTTTTGTGTTTGCGATTAGTTTTAATTTCATTGTGTTGTATACCAAAACGTCAGTATAAACCATAGTCTGTTTTTGTAAACGTGAGTGTTCAAAATAATTGTTTATACATATAGAAATATTACTGATTTTGTCGATCTGAATTATCTTTCATAACAAGTTCGTTGCCAAATATTCGTCTGACAATATCGTGCACTTCTCCCTTCTCCGCTGATCCGCTGCACACGCCGAACATGGTACGTAGAACATTCATATTTGTACGTTTCTATAAGGATAAACCACAGACACTTAATTATATATATAATATTATAAATGCGAATGTTTGGATATATGGATGGCTGTTGAAAATTTGGAACAGGTGTAAAACATATTCTGGAAGAACACATAGGCTACTCATTAAGTTTATTTTAACTCCGCGCGCACGGAGTCGCGGTTGATAGCTAGTATTAGATATACGTATCAAACAGACGGGACAATAACCAACCAACCTACTTATTATCACTAGGTAACAGGTTAAAATGCTCATAAGTAGCTAAAATACCATGGTTATTTAGAATTATGATTGAGGTTTATAAACCAGAAAATGTTCCGAACGTCCGCCTTTTAACTGATTTATTTGACTGTCTTTGAAACAAATACCTCAATAATTTTCTATTAAAGTGTTTTACAATTTATGTTTTGCTAGAAATTTAGACTCTCTAAGCAACTAAATAGATTTATAAATCAGACTATAAGCACTAAAAATATACATAATTAAAGAAATAATACTTACGTAATTTACACAACAACAATTGAAACTAAATCGCAATATACGTATTAGGTAAAAAATAATTTAAATCGTTAAAATATCCTACAACAACCGTATATTATATTTAAAATTATCACAAGAAATCAGGTAACCAGAATCAAAATAACGCGCTGTCAAAATTGTTCAAAATGACAATTAAATGTCATTATTTTTATTCATAATTTCTGACCTTCATTCTGAATAAAAAGTATTTTTAACACGTCTATGGTCATTAAAAATAGTAAATTATCTATTGACAGCGAATTATCCGCAGAATTTTAAAGGTTATTTTTATCTTACTTAATATTATAAATGTGAATGATGGATGGATGTTTATTTAAAGCTATCTCCAAAACGGCTGCATGAATCTCGCTGAAATTTGGCATAGATATAAAACATTGCCTAGAAGATCACATACTAATTGGCTTTTTTTATTTCGCGCTGACGGAGTCTCAGGCGACAGCTATATCAGTATAAAAAATATCTCCATCCTTGTCATCCTTTACAAAACATGTTTTAAATTGGGATTTAGATCTTAAAAACCCACGTTACGTTATGCAAAGTCTGTTAGCTTATAGACAAATAAAACCGCTTAAAATCATCAATAACACAACTAAATATAGAAATAACGTAACCGTTTCAAAATAACCTATAGTATCAAAACAACTGGAAGCGACCTAATGGTGTTTACCAACACTAGGTATTAGCATTACAAACAAGACTACGAGTTTAGTACAAATATTGTTTCCTGTACGACAGTAACGGTTTTGTAAACTCATAACAACTACACGATTTGCATCAACACTGATGTTGCAACATTTTCCAGATGCAACGAACCGTGTTTTTCGAAACGAAACACTTGTAATGATAGTGGAAACGCACAGTAGGTCATGTAGGGATTTCCACTGGCTTATTTCAATCCTTTGTAGGAAACCAATTGAATTAAGAATTAAATCATTATGAAAGTACAAAGACTATTATAATTAAAATTCTAAATAAAAAATAAAATAAAATGTGGAATAAAACCTGGAAACTTCATCTTCTTACTAATATTATAAATGTGAATGGATGGATGGATGTTTGAAGGTATCTCCGGCACGGCTCCATGTATCCCTGAAATTTTGCATAGAAAATAGTCTGGTACAACACATAAGGTACTTATTAACTTTGCTTTTAATTCCGCGCGGACGGAGTCGCGAGCGACAGCTAGTGAAAAATAAAAATTTCCCGCTTCCACGAAGTCGCCACAACAAGTTGTAAAGCAGCTTTTGACGGATTATCCCAAGTGGAGTACTCTTGTTAGCACGCAGCACTTTATCAATGTGTGAAAGGGACTAATCCTTGACTCTACCGCTTTTGCATTTTTTTTTATAAAAGTTCATAACACCGGTTCGTTCAGCCAGATTCTTGAACTTGTTTATTACAGATTAAAAATTCAAATAGAAATGGGCTTATAAAGTAATAAAAATAATAAATTGATGCATATTTTTTTCGTTTATTTAAGTACTGACATTTTTTATTTTATTTATCGATTTCTTTTTTAATAAATCATATTCGTAAGTTATTAAAGTATATTATGTCAAAAAATTTAAAAGTAAAAAATAAATCAAACAGTTTTTGACTAATTCATTCATAACACCATCGATAATCAAGAAAATATTAGAAGACTAGAAGTGTCATCTATGGCCCTTTAAAGTTTCCAATGGGTGAGTAAGCGTAGTATGCCGCTACTGGACAGTCACAATTCCCTCTAGGTCCTGGTATACCACGAGGACCTATTGGACCTGAAGATAAAAAAAATCAGGACTAAGAATTAAATTTATTACCCAGATTTAGCTATCAATGTTGTAAATAGAATAAGGGACAACTTATTTTACTACAATTCTGTATTAATTGTCGAATGTTGCGACATCTAGTAGACGTTTGAAACACTACGTAGTGCGACTTTGGTAGGATAATTCACTAGGCTTTAATTTCAAAAAAAGTAATTTTTTTGTGAAGTAATAAAAAATAATATAAACTTTTTACCTGGGTGTCCAGGATCACCGCGTACTCCTATTCTTCCGTCAGCACCAGGAGGTCCTATAGGACCTAGGAAAGAAAGAAATTAAATGTTTTACTCAATATAGCAAAAATGTTGATAACCTTAAATTAAATTTTAATCTTATTGGAGAATCCAAACCGAGTAAGATATAATTCAAGAAATAAGAAGTTAGCAAAGTTTAATGCTCCTCTTTAAAATAAAAAAATTAAAACTATTAGTCTCTCCTCAACCCTTTATCGCCAACCCTTGAACATAACACTAATAAAAATTACAAGTTATTAGTGCCATCTAGCGTCCAGTTATAAAATAATAAATTTAGCGCCATCTAGTTTAGAATGCTTTAAACATACCTTGAACACCCCTAGGTCCCTCTGGCCCTGGCACTCCCACACCTTCCTGGCCTCTCTCCCCTTTATCTCCTTTTTCGCCACTAGGTCCGGGACTGCCGGGTCGTCCGGGTTCACCAGTTTCCCCTGGATAACCCCGGGGCCCTTGTGTTCCCGGTTCTCCAGTTAATCCTTGATTAATGAAAACTTAATTGTTTTTACTGGTAATTACACTGAGTATATACTTTTATAATTACAAATTAACTAGCTGTCGCCCGCGACTCCGTCAATTCGCATTTATAATATTAGTAAGATATAGAAAATTCTCTTTTAAAGAAACACCAAATGCTGTTTTTAATTACTGACATACAGTATGATTTAAGAGAAAAATAACGACTATTTCATAGAGTTGTATTTTGTGAGTTAAGTACTGGCGATACATTTTATTTTATTTAAATTAAATAAAAAAATACTTCATGCATTAAAAATATATTAATTACAAAAACACATTTACCTGGTAAGCCAGGTACGCCAGCTCTACCTGGCGGGCCTCTTCTAGAAATTATAGTTGGTGCAGATTGAGTAGTCATCTTTTCCATCAACTCTGCTATGCGAACTATGGAAATTAAAAAAAATAATAGCTAGTCCAAAATGTTTTATTCTATTTTTAAATTTAAAGAAATTCTGACTGGTTGAAATAAATTAAAAAAAAAACATTAAAATATTGAGTACAATATAAAAGCATATTTCAGTGTTATTAAACGTACCTCTAATTAAGTCTTCACATATATTTCTAACTTCGGCTTCCGTAAGCAAGTCTGGCTGAAATTTAAATATCCACGAACATTTAAAAATAAATTAATTGTAGATTCCAGTGCGAAAACACAGATTCATCTCGTTCCAGCATTCCTTTCATTATTATTAAACGATTAACATAACAATTATGTTTAGTACAGTGGAAACCCACGATATATAATTATTAATAGCAAAATCCGTACTAAGCAATCATTAACTTTATTTGCATAATTTTGAATTAATTCAAATTACCTGAGCAACAATGTTACTAGATCCAGGTAATCCGGGCGGGCCTCTCTGTCCTGGACTTCCTGGAATTCCGTCTAGACCATCTCTGCCAGGTAGACCGGGAAATCCTTGATCACCTTTCTGTTTGTAATATTTAAATTGTCAATTTACTATGTCTTTTGTAACTTGTCTATTCATTATTGAGGATTTGAGAGCTAACGGTGATGAAATTTTTCTTTTACTTTGTAAAAACAAACACAAAAAGAATCTCCACGGCGGGGAATCGAACCCCGGTCTCCCGCGTGACAGGCGGGGATACTTACCACTATACTACCGAGGATTGATCAACTAGTTCGAAATTATACATTAATTATTATTTAACGAATAATATTATAATAAAATTAAAGAAAAAATTCACAACAGAAATTAAAATTTATTTTTATACATTACTTAATACTCTAAGCCCTTGGTATAAAAATATCAAAAACAATATGATAATTTCTGAACATTCTTTAGTAAAATAAAAATTACCAGTCCTCTTTCTCCTTGTGGACCGGGGGGACCTGGTATGGCGATTTGCTCCGCTGCCGTCGCAGCAGCTCCAGGAGGACCCGGCGGACCTTGTGAACCTTCGGGACCCTGCAAACAATCACATAAACAACTGCTAGTTCCAACTGACCTGGCACATGTATAAATATAGTGATGTCTCTATTTTGTCAAATAGAATGAAAGGGACAGTATTAATACCAATATTAAAGTATTTTTTTTCTGGAAACAGCGCTATCTTTTGATAATTTAAAAAGAGAATTTATTTTGAAACAACGTAAAGAGGAAATTAATGACTCACCGGCGGACCTTCAGATCCTTTCTCACCAGTACCACCTTGCAGTCCTGGCAGACCTCGTTCCCCAGGTAGACCTGGTGCACCCGGCGGGCCTTGTGGGCCTGGTAGACCCTAAAATAAAAAGTAAATAATAATTCATACCTCTGCATTCAGTTCACTGGTGTTTCCTATGTAACGTAATTTTAAAAAATCTCTAAAAAACTATAAAAATTTACCGGGACTCCGTCCACTCCTGGAGATCCCCTGGCACCTGGGTCGCCATCACGACCCGGTCGACCAGGATAACCCCTTTCACCTTTTGCGCCTAAAATTCATTAACAATCAGGAGCGGCGTTAGGGCTAGGGCTAACGGGGCGTCAGAGTCAGATAGAAAAGGGGCGTCTGCGAAGTAAAGAATTACTTTTTGGTGTGCACATACCGTGTATTAATGAAGCATTAATATTAGCAGGGGGTCCGGGCGGGCCTTGTATACCCGGTGCACCGGGGGGTCCTACGGGGCCCGGCGGTCCGGGGTAACCCTAAGGAAAATACATTGAAAAAAATATATCAACGCAAGACGTGGTAGTATATACTAATTGAATATTTATAATGAGAATTTAGTTTAAACAACGCCACGGTTTTCGAATTTTATTAACTAGCTGTCGCCCATGAATCCGACCGCAGGGAATTAAAAAAAAACTTAATTAATAGTCTGTGTTCTTTCAGACTATGTTCTACATTTATGCCTTTAATCACGATCTGTTGAGCCGTTCTGCAGATAACTTCTAACAAACTAATATTAGGAAAACAAGAAATACGATTCATTGTTATAGTTTTTTTTAATTCCGGCGGACGAAGTCTTGGGCGCAAACTAGTAATGAAAATAAAAGTTCTTGTTTAAAGTCCCATAACTTACATCTCTACCGTCAGTACCGGGAAACCCCGCTAATCCAACAAGACCAGCCTCTCCTGGGTCACCTGAAATTATTTAATTTACTACCAAATAACTATTTACCAAACTAAAATTATGTTTGGGACTAATGAAACATAAAAAAAATAGCAAAAGTGCAAGATTATTCGTTTTCTATGAAAATATACTTTACCTTTTTGTCCTGTATCACCCTTGTCGCCTTTAGCTCCTGGTTTCCCCGTTTCGCCCGGAGGTCCAGGACCAATGGTTTCCTATAGGTAACCATAAAAAAATAGAAATATATAGAAATATAAAACAAAGTATAAATACATCTTATAAAATACATAGAATCGATTCGATTTATGTAATTCTTTTTTTTAAATATTATCAGATTTTTGTAAATTTACTAATATTTCTTGTACCATTCCAACTAATTGGCTATTGACGCTTCGATCCAATTACTTGTCATTTTTTATTTTAAAGCGGGAAAAAGTGAACTCATACACTTAGCTCAGTCATATCCTCTCATCAAATTAGCTATCCCTTTCTTATTAATATCTCCTTCTTACATATTTAAACGTTCCGTTTCACACACGATACTTACATTGACTGTTTTTCCAGGAGGGCCTGGTTCACCTCTGTCACCTTTAGGACCAGTTAATCCATTACGACCAGGTGGTCCTTCTATTCCTCGTACACCCTTAATAAAAAACACGACTTGAATATGACATTATTATTATTTATATGTCGTTAATGTAATAAAAAACTATATGAATTTTGCTTAAATAATTCAATAATTTTAAAAGTTACCGGTAGGCCTGTATAACCTCTAGGACCTTGTTCCCCCTTCTCGCCTTTCTGACCTTCAGGACCCTGAAAGCGTACACAATAACGTTAGAAATAAAAAGGATATTCGGTATTCATATTTAAATGGAAACGACAATGTAACAGCAATAAAACAAATATGTATATAGAAGCAATTTGTGTGTATGTACATAATACCAAAGAAACTTTATTTTTATCTGTCTGTCTATCCGTTTGTTAGGAGTAATCTACGAAACGCATGAACAGACTCCGTAGTTGAATTATGCGGGCAGGCATACTATAGGCCTTTTTTTTTTCATTTCTCACTGACAAAGTTGCGGGCGAATACTAGTGATATCTCTGTGTATTAATAAACTACGCACTTACTGGAGGACATGTTTCATTGCAAGAGACCGGTAATAAAGGTTGCAAGTTGGGCGACGAATCGGGTGATATTAGCTGAAATCAAAATAAAAAGTTTTTAGGGTTCCGTAACTCGAAAGATAAAAAACGAAACCCTTATAGGATCACTTTGTTATCCGCCTGTCTGTTTGTCAAGATCCATTTTAACCGACTTCAAAAAGGAGGTTCTCAATTCGTCTGTATGTTTTTTTTATTTATTTTTTGTTCGTGGACAATTTAAGTTATTATTTTGCACTGTTGTTACTATTGAATATTGAGGTTAGTTTTGTTCTCGTACTTTCTTAACTTATACTTACAGGTGAAGGAACAGTTACTGTCAATGGTTCAGATAATTCCTGTAATAATTAGACGAATTATTAAAAAGTTAAATCTTATTCTCATTTATAGGCGTAGCATTCGTTGCGTTATATTTGGCTCGTTCACGTACCGACACGAGTTGCAGGCCCAAAAGTCTAATATCGACTAACGAGCACTCTCTCCGGCATGTACAGTCAGCTTCATAAATACCGTAGCAGACAAGATATGCAAATATATAGGTATAATTGATTACTTTTGGAGTACCTAAATATTTGCATATCTTGTTACGTTATTTATGAAGCTGACTGTACTTATGGCGTGCTCGAGACAAACACAACGTTTATGCATACACTACAATAGTTGTTATAAAGTTACTTACAATTTCCTCACAACTATCTTCTGTTAGATTGTAACGGTTACAACTTAATGACAACCATTGAAGATCTATCTGTAAAATAAAATAAAAAATAACCATTGTCACCTAAGAAATAAAGACTGTTATGGATTGTATCCAGACTCTATATTAAAAAGTTTACCCTAGACCTATTATAATGATCGACACACTCATACGTCCCCTCCGAGGTTCTCGGAGCCTACCCTAAGTTAGTGACTAGGACATAATTAACCACGCTGACGGCCGCGGGTTGGTTGACTTCACACATATCTTTAAATCTCTTCACAGATATGTGTAGGTTGCATCACGATGTTTTCTTTAGTGAGAACGTCGTATAAATGTAAATCGAAAAATATATTGGTACATGGCGAGATTCGAACACATGACCTGCAGATTATAAGTCAAATGCTTAACCCCTAAGCATGTTCAACCTAAATTACAGAGGAACATATATTTATATTTTTAGACATTATTAAGTTAAGTTTCTTTAGCGCGAATGGCGTGCTTTTGTTACCAAGTAGTGTCAGAATGATTAGTGAGGGGACGTAAACGTTGATATTTTAGTATGGCTAGTGTTGCGCCATACCGACACAGTGTCGGAATTTGTTCCTAACAATACTTACGGGTGCTGGAGTGCCATCATCATTGGTCACAATTGAAACTGATGTAGCATTACGGAAGTCGTGTTTCTTTATCTTTTCAGGTAACAACTGGTAAAGAGACAAAACAAAATTATCTTTTCTAACATTTGACCAAAACGTCATAGCTTTAAGTTACTTTTGTTCCCAAACAAATTGGTTAATTACTAAAAATAACTAAACAATGAAATCTACAGGACCATAAAAAATATACGATATAAAATATAATGTTAATTGAAAATTGGTTTCTAAGATTAAAATCTCTGTATAAAAATAGCCATCCCTGTCATTATATTTAACATAACAGACATAATAAAGTGTTTTAAACGGAAAAGTTGGTCTCAGAAACCCACGGTTATTATTGTACAAAGATCCTTACTTCTTTACAATCAATGGCAACATGAACGGCGTCATCTGTAACCGCTGCATGTATTTTATGCCATCCAGATGTGAAGAGCTGAAAACAGATATGTTTTGTCTCTTATTCAATCATTAGTCTTGCTTTTAGGGTTCCGTACATCGAAAGGAAATAAACGGAACCCTTATAAGATCACTTTCTTATCCGGTTGTCCGTCCCACTAGATATTAGCAAATTAGCGAAGTAACCGCGTGATAGACATCTAATATTTAAAGAGGTCACAAATGAGTTTTCTATATTTTACTGGTTGGAGAAAAAAGAATATTTTCTCATCCCTAACTTCTCCACCCCCGCCTCAAAAAGAATTATAAAGAGACAGAACGCTTAAATACTTGTATAATACTTTACGCGTGCCTTCTGCGTGGGCACCGGCGAAATGCAACTAATGCAGACTGTTAACTCTTAAACTATTACTCGTAAGTCTTTTCTTACCTCAGGACAATCAAACACGACTCTAGAAGTCTGCACGTAAACGCTTAACTTTTTCAAATTCGGTAACAAAGTCAATGAGAATAATAGGTTGCGGGCTCGTGCTCTCATTAAACTCCATGGTCTTTGGAGACCTTGTGCGTTGAACGTTGCAACCACACTGAAGTGTTCCGGCCATCCATTCGGGAATACTTCTCTGGAACACGTTAAGAAAGTACTAATGGAATTCAATATGGCTTTAGAGAAAGTTCTCGAAGTAGTTGGCGTGAATATACAATAAGACTTCGTCTAAGTATAATGATTATTTGTGAAATTTGTTTGACAATTTTATGCCACTGTATAAATCTTCTTCCTAATAATACTATAAATTGTTAAGTTTAGATAAATGGATGGATGAGTGGATATTTGTTCGAAGGTATCTCTTGAACGGCTGATCGGAACTCACTGAAATTTAGAGTTATTTAAAATCGATTACATTGAAACTTAACTCATTCCATGGATAGCGCCTATTTTAATCAAATAATTATGACCAGCTACATTTTAGGAAACTTACTTCAAGGGTAACGTAAGATTAGCCCCATCTCCAATCCTGTATGCTCTCTGTAGATCCTGTGAGCCTTGTACTAGCGTGACTCCGGTGGTATCAGGCTGGTCTAATCTATACACCGCTATTAAATCTACCGTCTGAAAGTCAACGTCACCAGGTCGGAGAGGAGAACATGGCGCGTATGGTGACACATCCAGTGGAGATATTGTTGTTATATTATCTATAATTGGTAATTATTTGAGATACTTTAAATATCTGTGTAGTATAGAACATGAATAAATCAACCAAACTTAATGAAAAATTAGACATGAAATAAAGTTTAAATAAAACTATTTGCTATTTAATTTAAAAAGGCGCTAAGCATTTACTCTAACAATAGTTGACATATAAAAAAGAATAAAAAATATATTAGTATTACCTGTAGCTTTACTATTACTAAGCGGATAAAATAATATTAGCAAAGTTATCTGGAACCTGGAAATAAAAGTAAGAAATGTCATAAGTTTTAACAAGCCATAACTTTTCTAACCAATAACAATTAACATTGGCCGAGATCAATCGTCATACGTTGTCCTAATTTCGTCTTCCATCAAATCTCGATACATAATGGTGGGTCAACAAATAATTGACCTCGGACGGTGTTACATGCGTACTATTAAAAGGCCTTCAAACCTCAATCAGCCGCGTTAAAGAATCAATTTATTTTAAATGTTTCAAAGTGTTTATTACTACCACAATGTATTGACGTAACGAATGCAGATTATGCATCGAATTACAAGGTATTTTACAAAATATTTTGCTAAGCAGATCGTCAACTTTCTATAAACGAATCATAACCTTAAAAGGTATTTATTTTCATGATCAGTTTTGCTGATATTTATAATATTCCTAGCGAGGTTATACACTAACGAAGTACAAATTCATTTAAAGAATCTGTTATTTATCTTCCCAATTGATTGTAAAATGTATAATATAGTAAAATGGTACAATATCTTCAAACTTAACTTCAGATTAATAAAGATGAAACAGTATGCAAATACGAACTAAATAGAATGTTTGTATAAACAATTTAACAAGTCAATCAAATTATCAATTAATCTTAAGTTACAGATGTATAAAATACCTACTAGAAACTAGCTGTCGCCCGCGACTCCGTCCGCGTGGAATGAAAAAAACTTAATTTCTTCCCGTAAATTATTTGATTTACTCTCACCTTTTAAACCTTTCCTAGACCACCACGAACATTTCAAAACGTTCAGCCGTTCTCGAGTTATAGCGAGACTAACGAATAGCAATTGATTTTTTTTATACATAGATAGTCCTTCTTTCGTGGTTTAATTGATTCGTCTTTACAAGTATTCATTTGGTTCAATAAATATGACGCTCGTAAAAGTGATTTTTTTACCATCACAAAAACCAGGTTATTAGAAAAATCATTGCGTCGCTTAGTCATCAGGCAATCTTCAGCTCAGTTCGAACAGAACTTCTACATCAACAGACCAGGAAAATAAGAGACTTTTCTTACTTAACCTCTTTAGTAACAAATAATTCATTCAATTTCAAATTATCACATCATTGGCGGTTACGCAAAAAACTATTTATCAAATAATAGAAGCATTTATTTATTGTAAGCTTAAAAAATTGAAGTTACACAATATTATAAATTTCTTTTCTTAAATATTGCTTGCCTAGATTTAAAAAATGTAAATTACTTATTTATTTGAAATAAGGTCAAAACATAACCAAAAAAAATATTATTAGTATTCAAATTTTTATTATATTACAGTAAATAAATACTTTATAAGAAAATAAACTATGAAAATAAGTACAACTTACCAGTGTAAAGTCATATTAGCGAAATATTTAAATGATTATCGTACATATTTTTACTCGAGCAACACGAACGCACTGGCAACACTAACGGAGCCTAACTGGCTAACCAAAGAGCCCGAGATTCGTCTGCTCCAGACCAGGACAATATATATCAATTAATTCTTTGCATGACAGCCTCGTTGTGGCCGAATGTAAAACTCTTGTATTAATTATATTGCGGTATTGATATGCGTGAGTAACATTACTGCAATTACGTGCTCAAAAAATAAATTATGATTTAAAATAGACACGAAGGGCTATCTCTAATTTAATATTAATATGAGTTATCTACACTAAGGGACTGACTTGTATACCATTAACCGACTCTAAGTATCACGACTATCATTTATGCTTAATACAAAAATTGTTTATGCTATATATCTGCGTGAATATTTCAAACATTCAAATGTCATGATTTTATTAATTTTAGAATAATACTAGCTGTCGCTCGCCACACCACACGCGCGGAATGAAAAAAACTTAATTAGTACCCTATGTGTCCTTCCAAGATAAGTTCTACATCTATCCCATATTTCAACCTGATCCTTGCAATCGTTCTGGAGATACTTTCAAACAAACATCGAGCCATCCATCCAAACATATTAGTAAGGTAGGAAGAAGTAAGATGATAAAGGATGGCGATAAATTAATAAACATTGTGGTATTTTATGAGAAATGATTCTATGAAATTTATTGAACAACGCTCATGTATGCATAAGTAAACAAATAAGATGTCACTTCCAGGAAACTTAGACTGATGTCATTAATGTGCCTGTTTTACCCTTGATGCTAATTGGTCCATTTTGATTATCATCAATGCAAGAATGTATGATTATTTCTTTAATTGTAATACACGAACGTCCTATGATATTCTAAACCAGCAGTTTACAATAATTTTAGCTTTGGATTAATTAAAAAAAAAACTGTTCTGAAACCGAAAAAATTTCGGTCTTAATAACGAATGCTGTTAACCTAATCGGTTCGGTTTCTTATTTCCCATTCGCTCTTCACCAAATCATCTAAAAATAATGTATCAAATTTGCCGTTCAAAAATCATTCGTGAACATAGCTAACATAAGACTTATTGACACTGGCAACCAGTTTGAGCAAACGGATGATTATAGGATAATTTTTTTTAATCATATGCTAAGTCAAAACCGAGCTTAGGATATTCATACCACAAATACTACTGTCCACAATACATAATCAGATGCGATTGCATAGACAGTAAATTTTAACATATTTTCTGTACATGTAAATTTCATTATACGAAGTTACAAAATCTTTTCCTACGATATAAAAAAACTTTTGATTTAAAGCCGCCATTTCTTCTTTAATAGTTAAAAATAATTAGGCTATTGATAAGATTATTCAGCAACATGCCGTGGACTAGTTCGATTCCAAGGATAAACAACTTTCTGTAAATTATTATTACACGATATAAATTCTCAATTTATTAAAAAAGATTACCTCAAAAAAAATTGTAGTAAATAAATTTAAGTAGGTAACAAATAAATATAGACACAACATGAGATATTACACAAATATATTATAATAGTTTTTTTTATATTCATATAAAGCAAGCTATTGTAACGAATTCCTAATTACATGTACGACAATGTATACAGGTGAAATAATATTACGTCAGAGCATAGGACACAACCGCGACTGGCGAAGCGCGATGTAGAAATGACAGAGAGTTGACACAAAATGGCCGCACTCCCACCCCGCGCGGCCTCTCGCATACCCTATGCAGCGACCGTCCCTTTCACTCGCATTGAAACGCTTGTTATCATCCAATTCGTGTTCAGACTCCGTTGTGAATACGTGTTTTGTGGATTTTTGAAGCAAAAAAAAGCAGTGTATAGCAGGTTATAACACCTGAAGTAATATCAATATGTGATCTCTCTTCGATAATTAAAAGGTAAAGATATATTTAGATAACCTATGTAATGTAATTTATATCCAAACATCTACCACGCATCGCTATAACGTGTCCGGACGCCATTCTTCTCACAGATTCGACGCCAAGCGGACGTATTGAATTGAAACGCAGTGGCCGTTTATACGTTTTTTGATATAGATTTCCTACTTACATATTTTTATTCGTATTTAGATACGTATCACTTTTCGTTCTATGGAAATAAAATGTCATTAATTGGATTTATAAAAATGGAATCTTCAGTGTTGCCAATATGCTGATAATTTATTTAAAAAATCGCCAAATACAAACAAAATATTTTATGGTCAATATTTTATTTTAGATAATGTTAATTGCATAAATAATTTGAGCAAAAACGGAACCCAAAATTCAAGCGCTTAGTAATATTCGCGGCACAGATAAAAAAGTTTCTTTTGATACGCATTTAAAGTCACCATATTTGTAATTTATAATTATAATATAATCATAACAGATGATTTGGTGATAAAATCGTCTAAATTTATTTCTAAGTTTAATATTTTCAACTTTTTACGGATACGTCAAAAAAGATATCAAGATATCAAAATATAAATTAGTCATCATGAATAAACATATACAAACTAAAAAAAAATCACCTGAAAGTATAATATAAAATTTGATAGAATTTCAAACAAATGGCGGGAACATCGCCGCGGTGCGGGACTAGTGTTATAACCGTTATTAGGTGACGTCACGCGGCTTTGACGGGCTCACATGGCGCGAGACTTCGTCGGCTATCAGTCGAGTTGGCTCGCGTAGCGCGACCGTTTCGTCTCAAAAAAAGTTCGCGGAACAATTTTTATTCTGTAACCATAATAAATAATTATATTAATAAAAAGAAGTGGTTTATATTTATTTGATGATTCAATGAGTATTTTTGTACAATTATTCTAATCTTGTTTTTGGGAAAAGAAATCATAATACAATATCCTTATTAATCTTTTTCTTAAGTAACAATCTTTTGCACGACTAAGCGTGTATACCTTTAGGAGTTAGCACAATACAACAATGGTGCACTTGTATTATTATTTTACATACAATAAAGTAAACGGCTATAAATAACACACAAAATAGGTTATTTCGGGATATTATGTTACAAAATAGTAAACATCTCAAGGACTAAAATTATACGAATTCTTAATCAATAAAACATCAAATCCCTACCCTACAAAAAGTTATTTTTAGCCTTATATGTAAGAACGACAAAGACGAGTGAACGCCCCTCTCGCTCTAGTCACGTAACAGTAGTAATTACGCCATTTTGTGTCTGACTGCCGTCGAGTGAGCGTCGCGGAAATTGTTTTGAAAAAAAAAATTAAATGTGTGTTAACAAGTAAGTAATTTGTATCCGTGTTAACAGTGATAAATCTAATATTCTTTAATGCCATTGAACATGAATGAGATGGGTATTTTTATATAAGATGGTTACCATATTTACATATCGTAGGTTTTATGTGAACTTTCAATAAAGGGCGTCTTATAGGTTAATTACTTCACGTTACGTTCACGATTTAAAAATTATAATAAGTTTATTTATGCAGAAACAATACTATATTTATGTATGTAATACAGAATTGACATTTGACAATGACAAATAAACTGTCTTTGACTATAGGTATTGCCATATCTGTAATTCCGTGAACTAATTTAATTAACAACAAAAATAATTTGTTTTTTGTTGTTATTTTACCAAGACACTTCTTTGTTGCTTGTTAAAAATTAAAATTCTTAATTAAGAACAACCTGCCCTAAACATTTCGATATCATAACAAAAATTTTCGATGAATGGGGAGAAAAGCTGCCTTTTGCTCACTTTTGTTAGCATGATAAAGAGCGACTGTAGCACTGAATAAACCACAGCTTATCGGAAACAATTTATTTTATATACGAATTGCACTAATCATAAAAACGTCTGCCGTCAAATTTGCAACGTATGAAATCTTTGACAGATCGCCTTCTCTTGATGCTAGCGCCACCTGCTTAAAGTTTTCAGTTTTTCTACCCTTTGAGCTGAAATAGTCGATAGAAGTATGAAGTGTGCCAATAAAACCCAAGACAACCACAAAGTAACCGTGAGGTTTTTTGTTCCTTTGAATAAGCAGCAGGAAATAAATAATTGATTTCAATTATTAAGTAATAGCTATATAACTTTCTCTTCAGTTCAGCTAACTTCACATCAAGGAGCTGGAAGCTACTTTAAATTAGGTATCATTGGGCTTAATGCAACCATAATGGCCCTAAACTGTTTGAACGACTTCTCCTACTTCTTTGAATTTCTTTGGGCATTAATAATAATTACTTTTCCGGTCAACAGAATGAGTGGCTTTTATTTATACTATTGTCTACTGCGAGATAAATAGATTACACTAAGCCATTTTTGAGGTCTCGTTATTTTACAATTATAGGGTAAACAGTTATCAAGATGTCGGCCCTGGAGAAGTTCAAGAGGAGACTGGTGCGCGATATCGCACGTCGTCAGTATGTGGAAGGTCAACCTGAAGATGAGATGTGGGATCAGCTGAAGATAGAGTATGGCTGTGATTGCTTTTTGCTATGGTAAGATGGTTTATGGTGATCGTATTGATTTAGTAAAACAAGTGAAAAGACGTAACCATAGATAAACTGCAATTTACGGTAAAATACAGGAATCCCAAATGATTTCTGTCGGAAGAATTTTCATTACATTTATATCACAACATTAAAAACAAACAATTATCGCAATGGCCGCCATGTATGGAATTTGATGTTCCATAGTTTTCGGCTTTGGATCCTTACTAGAAACTTCAAAGCGAAACCTTGTGCAATTAAAATAAATAAACCAAGGATGTATTTATTAAGTCAAATCCTTGTATTTTCCAGGCAACACATGAAGGTGTTAACTTCTAAGAAACTGAAGAGGATGCTCGCTGCCGAGGATCGTATGGACTTGATCACACCAGTCGCTCGGATGACGTCAACCGATTGGCTCGCTTTCGACCTCGTACTAGTTCACCAAGATGTCGATGTTATTGGAGAGGTATAAAAAATTGGCGCCTTTTTTACCCCATCCCCTTAGAGAATTAAAAAAAAATGTATGATATAAATTATTTAAAAACATTTAGATGCCTGCAATCGTCTTCCACTTAGATAACTCAGCGAGCTATCAGTTTTTCTAAAATTGAATAACATTATTAATAAGAATTCCCTTTGGAATAAAAAAGGGTCTTGATAGACACACGGATGGACAACAAAGTGATCCTAAAAGGGTTCCGTTTTTTTTTTCGAGGTGCATAACCCTAAAAAGAATTTGTACTACTAATAGAGTGTCACTCAATTCGTATATTGTCTTGGTGTGTCAAAGATAAGTCAGTAAATAGTTTTTTTAGTAGTAAATTACAATATATTTTTAATATTAGCAACATTTTGTTAATTTACTAATATTTCTTATACCATTCCAATTCAGCTCTAGGCTTGTGCTAGGATATGGTTTGTGTAGTATTCGAACTCTCGACCGTGTGATCGTGAAATCCGCACCCTTAACCATTAGGCTATTGGCGTTTCGATTTTCAGGAGCTGATACAGAGCGGTAAACCAGAATCACCGGTCCTTGAGCGATTGTTTCAACTGGTGATGTCGCACGAGATAGAGAATTTGTCTGGGGACCGTTTAGTTGCGAAGTGGGTTGTTCTGACAAGAAAATACAATACCAGGTCTGTTTCAATCTTGTATAAGTCGTGAACTATGTAGCCCCTTTTAAACCCCTTTTCCACTAAGTGTTAGTTAGGCTTCGTTAATGCTTACTACTATCCATTTTGATTTCATGACTTATTGTTTTCAGAGGGCGCGAATGCTCTCCCATGTTACTGCAGCGTCGATGGTATCAATTAAAAGATCTCTCAAGGCGAAGATTCTACCAATTCTGGTGGCTTTTTCGTGGTAACGCGAAAAATCTAGCGAAAGCCACCAGGCCGACAAAACTCCAGATTCGAGTCACTGAGAGGTATTATTAAAAGAAATTATCATACTTCTGTTACTAAGATTGTCAAATGTATTAGCGGTTTGGAACTTTGTACGAGTCGCTGGACAATATTAGATGTAGAGGTGGGCGTAATGGGATATGGGGGAAAGTGCGCAGCGCGCACATAACCCCGAGCATCCAAGATATTTGAATACTCGTATACATCTTCCTTAAAGGCCAGCAATCTGCGATTCCTTTGGTCTTGCGAGTGACAGATGTCTATGAACATCGACCATTTATAGTCCTACTGCTCGTTAATTATAAGAAAAAAAAAACAAATTCTGATATTAAAACTGAATTAAATGCAATATTCTGTTTCAGGCTTCCAAATCTTATCACAAAAAGATTTGTCCAATGGAAGGATTTAATAAACTCGGGGAAAATCATTCAGGCCGTTCAATTTGTAAGTTTCTTTAAGTCGACACAAATTCAGTATTAACTGAACATTACGAATGTTTAGTTGTTACTGTACAGATAAAACTGAACGTGGTTTTATAATAATTATCTAAATCATGGCTCACGAGGTTACCGCCATGTGACGTATGAAATCGACTACCATTATTCCGATAGTCGTATCGGTGAATGGAGTTATAGCGAAGAGCTTCGACCAACATCTTAAGAAGCTCTCGATAAACAGTTGGATTAAGGTCCCTATACAAAAGGCAGTTATCTTAGAAACCGCACGTATCGTGAGAAGGTTCCTGTCTCTGCAGCCCAGACCACTGGTTGTTTGAGTCATGGGATTCCGCAGCCGGTGGTGTTCTGTTTTTAATATAATATGTTTTGTATATTTTTATTTTTTTGGATATGAAATGTACTATATTAAAAATATGATAAATAAATGCATAAGGTCGTATCTAAATAATACATAGCAACATATTTATGTCATTATATAATATTATTTACAATAACTGTATACCATACATAAATTCATTTCAATAACTTGTACTTTTATTCCAAACAAAAGCGCAAACGGTTTAATAAAATTCAACTTAAAAACTCATAAATTTTAAAAAAAACATTGAAATCATTGAAAAAATGATTTTAACCACCTCTGTTTACTTAATTAGGGTACTACATTGAAATTAAATATAATCGTTTGTTTTCAGGAGAGCAGACGACGTAATGTGAAACCGAATTGTAATAGTGGTAAGCAAAATAATTATAAATACTAACTAATAATGAAGAAAGATACATCTATATATCTAGATATCATCATGTATTTGACGCGACTCTGACCGCGCCGAATTAAAAAAAAATAGTAGCCTATATATATGTATAATAGAAATACGTTAAGCCGTTCTGGAGATATCTTACAAACATCCATATATCTAAACTTTCACATTTATAATATTAGTAAGATGTTTGGATCAAATAGAATAATAGTTTGATATCTGAAAATACTATTGGTCGCCCATAGGTTGGTCCGATTACAAGCGCCCTGGGCGCGCCAAAAGGCGTAATTTCCTTTTTACCATGCTTTTGGAGTGAACTTGATAATAGGGTTACTTGAAACTGTAATTCGCAGTCTCTTTCTGCATAGTGCCCGGGCGGACGACCAACCTAACCTACCCTAAAGCCCTCTACATATTAACTTTAATTAAATCAAACACGTTCATCAGTTTGCGCAATTTCCTTTAAAATAGGTACAATTTGGTTCACGATATAAGAAATCTTTTACTTTAACTTGTCGTTTTTTTGGAAATTAGTAACAAGTAATATTTCCATATCCATAGATGATCCTGATCTTGTTGTGATTGAACCACATGTGGAAACTATAGAGGTGACTGCTGATTCTGATGATGAGGACGGACATGTCGCACAGAAAGATAACACAGAAGACATTACACCAATGGATGAAAATGAAAAGCAATTTGAGCATACATCTAAAACTGCAGAAAATAATACTAAATCTACTGAAAATGATAATGCATCTGATAGATTAAATAAGGATAGTCACTTAAAAGTGTCAGTAAAGACTGAACCAATCGAAGTATTGGAACTAAATGATACTCTAAGTGATGATGAACCAATGGAAACTGATAATATTGAAGTTATAGAAGAGAACTCCGCATCAGAGGAAGTAGAAAATGATGCAACATATCCAGAAGATGACACAGTTTTTCCTAAAATAACAAATATAATGGGAAATGTAGATATGACAGAATCTAATGATAAATGTAATCCTACATGTCAAGAAACAGTAACCAATGAAGTGATATCTGATTCAGAAGATCCACCAATCGAATCTGATATTACCCTAAATATAATCTCAGAGGATTCTAATAAAACTGTTGAAGAGAATGTAAAGAAAAAATTTCCCTTTAGTTCAGAAGATGTTATGGACTTTAACGAATTACCGTCAACTTTAGAATTTGTAGACGATGGTATCGATTTTGTGGATGACGATGAAGAAAGTGTAGAAGAAGAAAAACCAGATACTGAGGATGGTAAGAAATAAGTTTAATGCTGTTTTGAATATGTATATATAGTAATCTTTGATCGATCTGTCGAGACGAATAGGTGCTATAATTTAATCTTGAATTACGAATGCTTAAGGATCTTTATTTCTCACTAGCTGTTGCCTGCAACTTCGCGCGGAAAAATAAACTTAAGCAACCTATGTGTTCTATCAAACCGTATTCTACGTCTATGCCAAATTTCAGAAAGATCAATGCAGCCGTTTTGGATATACTTTCTAACAAAACACCGTCTAAACTTGTGAATTTATAATATTAGTAAGATAAAAAACAGCACGTTTCGTTTATATGAATAAAAGTAAAAACAATATGTTGGCTTGTTTGTAAATATATAATTTAGGCAAAAAAAATACATAATAGAACTAAACAGTCTTATTCAAAGATTACACAGGTGATTCATCATTTTACTCTGTTTTTTAGGTGATGAAATCGTAAATCTGGATGACGTCGACCCCTCATACGGTATAGATAGAAAACTCATCATGATTCCCATAACTTATACAAAGAAATTAGATGATATGGAAATATTACAAAATATCGATTACTCAACGGTGAAAGGCAACGAGTTAATTGAACTAATAGAAGCTCAAAGTAGAAGTATAAAAATTAACACTGAAAATATTAAGACTGAAGTCGAAACAGAAAATGAACAGATAGACGAAACAGCAATCGAAGATCATAAAGTAACAAAACATAATGTAGAAATTGATGAAGCAAGAATACAAGATTATATTCAAGTGAATAACGAAGGAGAGATAGAAAACGCAGATAATATATATGGAATTAAAGTGAAAATAGAAAAAGAAGAGATAGACAAAACGGAAAGCGAAGATGACACGGAAAAGTGTGAAGTTCCTAGAATTAAATATACTAGCTGGCTGCTCCAAAAACCAAAACATAGAAACTACAACCCTATACTATTGTGTAAAAATCCAGATTTTAATACGAGACTCAAAAGGCTAAGCGTAGGTTTCTTTCTAAGCGAACGTAACAGGCGACTATTTAATGCTTGCAAACCTCTCACTATCGATATGCATAAAGCGTTTGAAAGTAAACTCGTCAATAACGTTTTGTATTTAGAAACTACTACAATACCGAACATTAAGCGTGAAACAGTCCCTGAAGCGTGTGAAAATACTGCGTCGGTGATTCCTTCGGCTGTGCCGGTTCAAAGCTTACTCGATATAACTAGAGCAGAACATAAAGATGTAGAGCCAGAAAAATTACAAATGGACAAATCAAAACCAGCCTATGAACATAAAAATGAAAAAGTAATCGAAAGAGGTCATGTTATAAATGAGCCTTTAAATTCACCGATGGCGTGTGCTACTGGGAATTTGTTGAATGCCGCAGTGTGTCCTGCCCCTACTTCAGTTTCAGATAATCAACCTGCTCAGTTAGTCGAATCTGAATTAAACACGCGGCACAATCTTATAAATGACAAAAAGAACAAAAAAGCAAAGCCAAAACCGCCTCCACCTGTGCCGAAGTGGTCTAATTACTCTTCGAACCTTCCACAATACGAAGAAAGTTTAATTACACAGGATACTCTCCATAAAGTCATCTGCTTGCTCGACACTGGCATGTTCCTACTACGTAAAAAGGCGCCGCCTGTCGAAGCACCAAAAAGGCCAAATACGAGGCTATCTGCTGGGATGATTAGTGGAGGTGTGCCTCAACCTCTCAAAAAAGTAACGAAAAAAGAGACGGTAAAGTTACCAGCAGATGAGAACAAATTGAACAGCAAACAAAATATGACTGTAGAAAATTCGTTAGAAAAGGTCGCAAAAAGGAAAAGAAATAGGGCTAATCAAACTATTGCAGCAAACAGTGGTTTTTGTTGTTGGTCTCGACATCAAATAGAATTTGTTAGACCGGAAATTAACAACACAAGTTTTGTAAAAAGTAAGAAATATAGACATTTATGTCCAATGCTAGAATGTTTTTGTTGCTGTCAAAAAGATCTATTGAATCTACTGACATCAGGCAAACAATTAGACGATCACACGTATAGCTGCGACGGTGAAATTCCGGGGCCCAAGGAACGTGAAACAACTGTGAAAGTAATTCGTGATGTAGCAATTCAAGCGAGATCTATACAAAACGAATATGGCGAGATGGAAATAAAAAGTGCTATAGAATTATATCATCCGCAAAATAAAAATCTTCCTAAAAATGACCAAGGTACGAGAGGACGAAGAAAATCCAAAGATACTGGATCAAATCTTCCTATAACAAGAGCTGTAATCCATTCATCGGTATCTACACAATTTGAAAATAAATATGACGTCACAACACAATTTACGCACACTAACACATGTGACACAGTTAGTCACGTGCATGCAAAAACCCCACCGCCTATAAAAGCAAATATTATTCCTGCTATACCACATCGCGGTAATAAAGCCGAAGTATTATCAGTCACGGCTTCAGCTGGCTGGCAGTCAGCGATACCTAGTGTTGCAATTGATAATAATATTGTTCAAAAAGCAGTTATTGAAACAATATCTTTGATTGAAGAGGAACCTTCATATCAAACGCCGAACTCTCCCCCTCAAGGACTTTTGCCACAAGGGGTGAATATATTGCTTTTACCTGACAACACATTAAGTGTATCTATAGACCCAGGAGTAAAAATAGATCCAGCTAGTTTATCTAAATTGCCAGAAATTCTTTCCGTGGTACAAAAGAAACTTTTGGAATCCGGAACACTTAATAGAAACCTGAAACTTCCAATCAGAAAATGGAAATATCCAATTAGAAAAGATATAGGATTTAATTACACTAACAGCAATATGCCGGTGAATCAGCAAACAAATGTACAATTGAATCCTCAAATAAATGTAATCAATGAAAATGCAAATGTTACCCAAGAAAACGCTGAGTTTCATATATTAAACACGCAAGTAAACGATACTGAAGATAATGCTGAACTTATTGCTATAGATCCAAAAGTTCAAATTACTGAAGAAAGTGCTCTACTTCGTATATTGAAATCTGATGTAAATGTTTCTAAAGATAATGCTGAACTTATTGCTATGGGCCCAAAAGTCCATGTTACTGAAGAAAGTGCACAACTTCATATGTTGACCCCAGAAGTAAATGTTACTCATGATAATGCTGAACTTATTGCTATGGTCCCGGAAGTACAGGTTTCTCAAGAAAGTGCTCAACTTCATATTTTGACCTCTGAAACAGATGTTGAGAAAGAAAATGTCAATATGAAAATCCTCAATAACGAAGAAAACGCTGAATTTATTGTCATGAAGCCTAAGGAACCTTTTGCCGAACAAAATACTGAATCTAATATCGTAAGTACTGAAGACGACGTATCCCAAGACACTGCTGAAGTTAACCTTATGTGCTCCGAAGACCATATTTCTGAAGAAAGTGTTGAAAATCTTGACATGAACTCGGAAAGAAATGTTGGCGAAAAAAGTGCTGATCAAAATCTTAATGCGGGGGACGCTGAGAATCATGTTGTGAATAGCGAATTTATTGCAACTCAGGGCAATATTGAAAATAACGTCGTGAATGCTGAACTTAATACTATCCCAGAAAATACAGGTCTTAACTCACAGTACTCCAATACCAACACTGACTTTAATACTGCGCAATCAACCCACATGCTTTATGTTGGTAGCACGAATTCGGAATCTAAGGAAGCAACTGAAGAAAATGTTAGAAAAGATGATGAAGATAAATTAACATACACAGATTATATTGTCAAAGTCGCTCCGGAGACTAACAGAAAATCTATATTGTCCGATTTGATGACAATGTCGGGGATATCTACGGAGGACACAAATATGGCTACGGAAAGTCCGGTAATTAATAATGTAACTACAGAACATAATACTTATAATGTAATTAACAATGTTGCTACCACCAATATAATAAATAGCAATTTACAAAACAATCCGTACTACCTTACTAACACACAAAATATAGGAGGAAACATTCAAATAAGCCCACCTCCGAAAAAAGTTAAAAAAGTAATGGTATTTATAAAAAAGAAACTGAAAAAAAAAACTACTACTAACAATTCCGTTATCGATCTCACCGAAGATGATACACCAGCCGACACACCAGTCGACCCGCCAGCCGACACATTAGCCGACACATCAGCCGATTCACCAGCCGACCCACCAGCCGACACTAGTAAACAAAATGAGCCTCCATCGGATTATATGCAGAAAAAAGAAAACAACTCCAAGAAAATATTAAATCTCAAGAGAGCGAAGTTAATTCGTGTGCCTGCAGCCGCCGTCCCGACAAAGATCTACCAAGCAGCGCAGTCTTTATTGAAGAAGGACAATGCAGGACCAGTGGAAACCAACGCAAATTTATCGCCCAGCGACATTGAAAAGCAAATGAAAATACATCTCGCGAAACAATACAGACAGTTCAATAGAAAACCGACAATTTTGGATATATTAAAAAATATAAAAAATTCAAAAGCTATGCAAGTAACGCAAAAAACTCGCAATGAATCCGAATCTTCTGATGATGAGCCGTTAGCGAAGAAATCTAGGCGAATGAGAACACAAAATAATGAAAGCAATTCTGTGAGTGTGGTACCTATTGATCAATATAATTTGCCCGTTGAATACACAGATGGACCACTCGTGTGTGTCTCCGTCGTCGATAACCAAATCTCCAATACAAACGTCGATGACCGAGACTCTGATATGAACGCAGATGGTGAAGAAGACGCTATTTTAGGTATTTAAGTTTGTATTGTTGAAACTATTTGTAGTCTAACTAAAAATTCGTGTTATTACCGATAACTGTTCAAATCGTTCGGTCGGAAATGGATTACCCATTTTTTAGATTCTCAAAAGGGAGGGAGGCAGATATGTACAATCTCTATAGATCCACATAAGTAACTCAAAACTAATTGGCAGTATTTCGTTAAAAAAATGTACCATTTTCTTTGGAATCCAAAAAAAATATTTCTAGCCTCCCCCTCAATCATCAGCTGACTTCGCTCATGTCATGCGATATCTCTAATGGTTTCTATTTGATCTTTCCTAACAAGTAATTTGTATGATTAAGTAGTTACTAGATTGTGATTTTATCGTTTTTAAATTAAATGTGTAATTTAGTTATGTGAAAATGAAAGAATACAAAAACAAGGGAGTCGTTGCATTTTTTACCGATGACAAGAATACGAAAATTCTTGCTATATATATTTTTGTGATAGTATAACGATGAATTTAGTCTATCGCCTATGTAAAAGCATGTCGTTATTTATATTGTTGTTATACAGGTGATAATACAGTGAAAACTCAACACGATAAGAGTTAAAGGTTAGCTATGTGTAAACTAAAAGTGTAAGATAATCCTAAGTAAGTTGTAATGAAGTATAAACTCAATGAATACCTCATTTGACGAAACATATTTTGTTTTTTCTTGAATCCGAAATGTTATTTCGGAATTAAGAAGAAAATATGAAATATAATTGTGGTCATCTAGACATATAAAATTTTAGGATAATAAAAACTGTGATATTAATTCTTAAGTACATTTAAAATTTTAGTATATAATATATTAAATACCTCGAATATGTTTGTGTTAAAACCTTATAAAATGTTAAGATGCTAAAAACTTGACCTTAAGAAAAAATGGCATGTAACTTTAATTCTGTATTATTACTTTTCCTCAAGTATTTATGTTTCAATACAAAGTATTGTCTGTAAAATTGGTTTTTTTTTGTAATCATATGGTGTCTTAAATATATAGGTAAGAAAAGTAGAGTTTTATTCTCTAAGACTTTCAAAATACTATAAATAACAAAAGATAGCTGCTAATTAATATTTTTTTATCTTTACTAACATAAAAATAAAAGATAGACATTTTCATTCCCAAAATATAACCTCATCCAATTTCGTCCATTATTTAGCACTTAAATTGATTGATAAATATTTTTTAACTTTAATATATATCTTTTGTTAAATTTAATATTCTTACCATTGCTTTTGGTGTTGGAGAGAAAAAATAATACCCTGGTCCCTGGCAGAATCAAAGTTGTGTGAGGTTTTACCCACTAAATCCCCTGAGTGGCCATCATGTACTGCCACTTGCAGGTCTCCAGGATTTCCGGTGGAAAAGACCAGAGTTAACAGTCTTAAAATATAATTAAATTGCTAAGACACTATTATATATGTATTCTCATTCCTGTTTTGTCAAAGAACAAAAGGAAATTATCGAACATAGGTATAAATACAGCGAAATCCTACATTTAGCGAGTAATAGAGTAAAATATTAAAAATCATTAAATTTTTTTATTATTTAATCATAAATAACTACAACTAGATAAACATTTTATCTTACAACAACATTAAATGATTTAACAATTGCTTTTTCAATTTCCTTATGTACTTCGTTAACTTCAGCCTGTGTTAGAGTCCGTTCCAAATGTCTATATATTATACTGTAACATAGACTATGCTTCTTGGTCTTTGGATGAACAAATTTATCTTTCAATTTTACCTGCAAACAAATATTACATAACAGCAATATAATAAAAGAATTAATTCAGGTCCTAAAAGTTCATACCATGATGTACTATTGTATATCATAATAATTTTGTTTTTTAAATTAATAACGAAACTAGCTATCGCCCGCAACTCCGTTCACGCGCAATTAAAATAAAATTAATAAGTAGTCTATGTGTTATTTCAGACTATGTTCTATACATATGCGGAATCTTATTGAGAACTGTTCAGCCGTTCTAAAGGTACCTTCAAACATCCATCCATCCACCCAGGTAAACATTAACATAAATTATTAGTAAGATTATTTGACCATCCCGAGACACTTTTTGTCTCTATGAACATGCAACTCCATTATAATTAGGTATATTTTTGTCTAATCTAGATCTAAGTGAAAATAAATTACCTGTTCAATTATATCACCCCCGACATCTCTCACTAAATCATAAAAATCATTATTTGTAAATGTATCAATTGTAACATCAGATGGCAGCCAAAATGATATATCATTTATACATTGCGGATAGGATGATACAGCTTTATAAGTAATCTTCTCATTCAATTTCTTATTCTGAAATTGTGATACAAATCCTGAATCTCCGCTCCACATCAATCGTATATCAGGTATCTTGTATAATGCCATCGCAATTCTTTCCAAACCAAGTCCGAATGCGTAAGCAATCGAGTTGTTAGGTCCTGCATTTGCTAAAATCTCATTCCGTACGATACCACAACCGAGAACTTCTAACCAATTGTTCTCATAAAATATTTCTAATTCCCAAGATGGATGTGTAAACGGAAAATATGCATCAACCCATCTATGTTTAACATTATCACCAAATAATGCATGGACTAAACCAATTAAATGGTTCTTAAGCTGCGTTTCCATTAATTTTGTTGCCTCTAAACTGTGACAACTTTGTTTATTAGGATCATTTATTGAGTTTTCAAATATTAGTGGGTTTTTTGGATCAAATGTAGGCTCAAAAAGCTCCAATCCTGGATGATCTTGAAATAGTTGTTCCTTTCTTTGAGATCTTACAGCATCAACCTGAAAAGAAAAAGTAATTATTCAAAGTAGAATTGCACCTAATATTAAAAGACTGTATTCTCTAATCTAATTTCCACATGCTTATGTTTAAAAATATTAAATCGTTATTCAAGTGGGGTAAATAACCCCATTTTTTTGCTTTTACATGAGAATTTGTGTGATTAATGTAATAAGAGAATAAAATTACTTGATGAAAGACTGGAAAGTGCGTGGAATCAATTTCATCTCTTCTGTATACATCACCAATCATAAGGAAATTGTCTAGACCTGAGCGGAGTAGTTCACTCTGGTGTGCGGTCATATGTGCTCGCAGTAGTGTCTTCCTATTTACATAGTAACAGTCAGATTTGGTCCTGCTCGGATGGTCTTCAGGTATTAACAAATCATCAAAGTTCTGCTTCGTAGTCACCACAGGAGATAGATTGTCGTAAACACTGAATATTGGGTTACCTCCATGCGTAAAAGATGAATAAAAATAATTCACAATTCGTTGCCGGACTATTGATATTGGATTGTCCTTTTTCAAGTGCAAATCTCGATTTAAATATGACAAAATCTTTGGTGTAATGTTCGTGTAGTCGTCGGTAACAAATTCTTTATCATTTATTTTCAGTGATGTTGCCGGTTTGGTTACAGTTGTGTAATTTTTATAAAAATGGGTAGATAACAGACGGATATTTCTAATAAATAATTTGGTCATGTTTGTTGGTAGACATGTAAACTATTCCCTGAATAACTACAACTTTATGAAACCGAGTACACCTTTACAAGGAATTTGTTTTATATCTTTTTTTTATATGCAAAATTGTGCGAAATTTGGGACTGCAATAATTGACATTGACAGCTGTCAAGCTAAGCATATAAGTATCTTTTACACTCTTTGGCATAATTGTCAATTCATTGGTTTTATAAAAAAAATCTTCCTTTTTATACAATAAATAATGAAGTAAATACTCCTATATAAATATAATTTATTAATCTGAAAGTTATGGGAGAACTCAAAAAATCTTTTCTTTGTGAATTCTTGAATTCTGATCTTTGTAACATATACGTCAAATTGGCAGATTGTGACATAACCTTAAAGAAAGAGTAGAATTTTTAAATAAAATGAATTAAACTGTGAATAAAAATATTAGTATAAAATCCGCATCGTTGTTTTTATGTGCGAGTATTAATAAGCAATAATTATGATATCAAGAAGATTAATTCAAGTAGCTCAATTTGGAGCAGTTGGACTTACCGGCTATTGCGTCGGTCATGTTAAGAATAAAAATAATTTAGTAGATAATTCATTAGAAATTGACGGTAAAATAATTCAACATATGCCTGGACTTCCTATATTTGGTACTGTATCAGCTGCGACACCTTATACAGAAAGCGGATCTACAAGGGTATATGATCTTCATTGTTAAATTTATTTGAATTCAAACTTAAGTAATCGCTTAGAGTTCTTTGATATCCATATTCTTTGTATAACTACCTTTATATCTTCATTAAAATAAAAAGTTATCTGACTGTACTGGTAACATAAAATTTTAAAATAAATCTTTTTATGGATCATAAAGACATTTATTTTTAGTTTTACAATTCACTTACCAAACTCCTTGTTTTAGGTTTCACAAATAATGAAATATGGTTTCCCCGGCATGGATAATATAAGATCTTATGATGATTTCGTTCTATCATATGACAGACGAAATAGAGTACCACATTGGGTATTTGAACATTTGACTAAACAACATATAGAAAAAAATGACCAAGTTGACAGGAGTAAATGTGACTTTACACCAGATGAAAGCATACATCCTTTCTTCAGGTATGAGCTATCAGATAGATGTAGAGAAATTTATAATTTAGATACAGCCTGTTTTAATGCTACTACCAAACTAGAAAAGGTTTCTATGGTACATCCTCTTTTCTATGTTCTTTATTGAAGGTTTAACAAGGTTTTGTGAAACTGTTATTTACAGAAGACATGGTACTCCCTGTACTTATCAGAGCCCTAGCTGGTAACCTAAATAACCGGTACAATTTAAGCTTATTACTAGAGGTAGAAAATCTTTAAATGTGAAAGCCAAGGAGTACATTGTTAGAGGTCAAAGAATTAGATGGATGGTATGAAAGGTGAGGGTTATTTTTTCTGTACTAAATAACATTTGAATCATTCTTCTTCTCTTCTTCAGGTCACAGAATAGTGACTATAAAGGTTCAGGCTTTGATCGAGGGCACATGGCAGCAGCAGGTAACCACCGTTTAGCACAGAAGCATGTTGAACAAACCTTCTACCTTACCAACATGGCTCCTCAGGTGAATTATGAATATATTTTTTTACTCTACATATTTATGAAGCGAGCTAGCATTGTTTTTATATTTCTTACATGCTCAAAAAATATATTTCCTGTTTGAAAAAATATTAGTTTTACAGCTTTGTATTCATGGTTGGTACTTAACTATGTCATTGTTTGATTTCCTTTTAAAAAGAAACCATGATTATGTTGAGTAATACTTTAGTAACTTAAGTTTATATTTTTTGTAGCAATTTCAGACATAACTAGCATAAAAATATATAGCCTATGTTCAAAACTTAGTGATAATATATTCTAATGGAAAAATAATTTTTGTTTAAATCGGTTAAGTTTTGTTACTTTATTCGCAAGTAACAAAATTACAAAACTTTTATTTTTATAATAATTACTTCATATTTTTATATGTATTGCAGGTAGGTGAGGGATTTAACAGACATTCATGGAATAGACTGGAGAAACATGTAAGGAAGTTGACAAAAGTCTATGATAATGTGTACTGCTGCACCGGACCACTGTATCTACCAAGGTAGGATTTTATAGCAGTTGCCTTTTTGAGCCATGTGATTTTTTAAATTTATTATTAAGATTTTTGTGCTACATGTTTAAATTGATAAGAAGTA